CTCTGGGATCATCACTGCAGACTTTTTGGGACTATCGCCTCCGTCAATTTTTTATTGGATAATAGTCTGTTTACATGAATAACTACCGCTGGAATGTTAATGTTATGTTTTAGTTCGAAATATGCATATTTAAGCGAGCGGGAATATTGCACACTGTAGTACAGAGGGTGCAAATCTCCACAGCAACAAGGTCATTATTTTATTTCAGGTAAATGTACAACTACCTTTTGGCAAAACCCATTTACCCGAATGATATTGATACTTACAGAGCTTGGTAAATATACCGATACAAGGTTTTAATATAAATACAATACTACTTACATTATACGAAAAAGAATTACAATGACATTAAATTATAGAAATAGAAAACTTTAAAATAAATATAACCTTATAAAAATATACAAGTCCTAACACAATTATACATACAAAACTAAAAGTCGTACCACAGTAGTACTATTGTTTTACCTGCGGCACCAAGTATTGAATATTTACAAAAACCATCCCTTAATAAAAAGTTTTTTTTGTCATGTTAGCGCGGAAAGCTCGTTTTGCATGCTATGAAATAGGGAAGAAATGGCCTCTTTTCAGCCGTGTTTTAGTCGGGAGGCAATGAAATTAGTCTTTTGAGCGCATGCACTGAAGTTTATGGGCATGCGCAGAAATCAGTTGTTCAATGACAATGTCTTTCTAACCTTTAAATCATTTACTGTTATTTCACCAACTATCGATTTAATGACGAGCTTTCCCCACAAACTTGACAAAAAATAGTATACGTACCTCGGGAAGCAACATAATTGTCTCAGACTGCATGTTTTGTTCACATGCAGTTTGAATTAACCCTGTTTCTTCCCTCGATACGTAGTATACTATATATTTATTCGAGTTGCAGTCAGTAAATTTGTATCTTTGATATCTCTAAATCGTGATTTTTCGAACACAGATAAAGATTCCCCGTTGTTTTGTCGTAGACTTCTGTGAAAAAATTAGGTGTTACTCAAAAATTATTATTTTTGTCATATGAAATAAATCTTAAAAAATTATATGGTGTATTAACAAATATTGTACCGTATTTGTTCAACTTTTTATTCTTATATTCAATTTTATAAAACTTAACTAAACCATTTTGTGGTAAACCCATCTGTCAAAATAGGCGGCATTAACGTTTGTTGGTGACGTTTGCGCAAATAGCGCCATCTGACCCGAGCCTTACGTGAAACCACCCTTTATCGTAATTTTGGCAAACTATTTTTACTTCAAATGGTCAACTGCAAATAGTCGCAATAAAAATTGTTAGAAATACACGTTACGTTTTTATATATTTATCGAAGCGTGTAAAGGATATTCCATTTGTTTTTTTGTTGTCAAGATATTGTAAGTTTTCGCAGTGTTTGAAACGAATTGCGGACCGAACGATTTCGTTTCATTCAAAAACCGTAAGGTCTTGCGTGACGTTTTATTGCGTTGGCATAGAAAATACACTACAAAGTAGGTTGTTAAGAGAGAGTGACTGACTAATAACAATTTGACTTTTTCGTGGACAAAGCGGGCGTTTGTTTTAAGTAGGTTACGATTTGATACGGCCTGCATTTGCTGCGTTTTGTAGAAGAGAAGAAGTAGAATACAATCCGAAACTTGACACGATTTCGTGATTGCTTTGTTGATGTTACTCACATTATATTTTGTATAAAACATTGTCCCGTCGCTTCGTATACAGGTAAAACAAAACGTTTACCGAACATAGAAAATATTTCTTAG